GATGTCCTCATCTGATTAAAGCTTCTCTATCTCAGGGAATTCCATTGATAGTTCATCTATGTCTAGATCAACTTTTATTGTCTTCCCCTTGGGATGAGACTCAGTTGTGCTAGAGGTTGGACTCTCCATAACTAAGGTGAAAGAAAGATTTTTAGGAAGATATGAAGTGGATTTACAGACAAAAGATTTTTGTTGAGAGAGAAGATACTCCTTGCGTGTTTCAAATAAAAATGATTTAATAATCTCAAACTATATTTATAAGTTGACATAAGTGTTCATATCACTTTTTAGATTATATAATTTTCAGAAATTACCTAGCAATTACCCTATATAAGCTATCAAAAGTGTTATTTGATAAGCTTTATCAAAGGGTAGTTAAGTAATTTCTTACTTTCGTCGCTTGATTTCCAATTATCAAATTAAGGCCTAAAACGCTGCGTTTAAGGTGGGCGCAACTCAATTTCAATTGGGAATCAATTTCTTTTTAAGCAGACTCTGTCAAACCATTCGTATCGTTTTGTGTCTGAACAAAATCAAACGGCATAATTTAACTAACTCTACAACGCTTGGAAAAAACCATAAAAACCTTCAAGGTATCCTTCACCCAATCGGCCAATCTCATCACCAATTCACTCTCTAATCTTCAAAACTTTAAAACTTCTATTCTTTGAACCTTGCGAAGTACAAAATGACTTCTCTTCCTTTGCAAGAAGTGCTCTAATCCTTTCTAGTAAAATATTATTCAATTGAGGCTCATGAATTGTTCAAATTGATAAGCAAATACCCTTATAATTTTAGATCCGACTTCCTATGGCATATTTCATCTTCGACCACCAAAGAAAGTGTTTTCAAAGGCACTGCCTCTATAGGGCAAGTGTTTCACTTCGACCTTTCATTTTCTGATGCTCTGCAAGATTTCCGAAAGGAAATTCAGCCCAAGTTCACCAAGTGTATCCTTGGTTAAGGTGCACCTCGCCTTTCTGCATTTAATAAATTGCACCCAAACGACAATTGGATTTTAAGCCAAAATCCAATTAAAGGCTGGGTACAAGAACTAATAGCCACGGGCTAATTTATGCGGCTTTCCAAGTTCCACTCCTCATGGGAGATGAAGAGAATTTTCGATTTCCTTAGGCTGGCGACGCATGGTAAGATTCTATTCAACGGATTGCTGACATGTGCCCTTATATCGCTCTAGGATCCCGTGTTAAACTGTTTCATCCTGCACCATGGTTGTATGACTATCACCCTTGTTGATATAGCCTTCCTTACTGGTCTATCACCTTATGATGATAAAGGTCAGCAAATCAAAATGTTCAGCCTGATTGAAGGCACTAGACCTTTATACAACATAAGTCACAACCTTCTGAAGCAAATGATGGCAACGTCCAAAAGCAGCAAGATCGGCTCCAATGCCTATATCTCATACTTTTCATCGTCATCATATTCTACCAAGGTATCGCGAGAGGATGAGGTACTTTTCATTTTATTCACTCTTACTCGTTTAATGATGTGCAAATCTGGTGGCATTTCTACATTGTTATTGCCACTTGCAGGGAACATTTCCCATATCAAGTCTTTTGTAGCGATAGGTCCAATCTTATTAGGACAATTGTACATATGACTGTTTAGATGTAGGGAAGCTCTTAACGAAGGTCAGAGCTTTGGACCTCTATGGCTAGTCACCTGTTGGGATCATCTCTACACTACTTTGTGTATGGAGAAGACTGAGGAAGAGGTTAAGAACGAGATGGCGACTGGGACAACTTTGTATGTATCAAAGCTTGATTGTAGGGAGAAAACTTTAAAAGTGGACTATTACTCATATGCAGAAATATGCTTCAACTATTTTGACCACAAAAAAGTTCCTAAACCCAATCTCGTTATGCATTGTCTGTTGGAGTTAGACCCTTTACCTGTTAATTGGTACATTATGAGCCGGAAGGATAATGCGGATACTAACAGTATATGGGTCTTTGATGCAACTCGAAAGTGGCTTAAAGCGGTAGGCATGAGGATAACCTTTGACGAAGACTCCTCTTTTTGGTGTTCTGTATTAGCTTCTGGAGATTTTCTTACAGGAGAAAGAGAACACTTTGGTTTTGAAGCTTATAATCCTCATATGGTAGCCAAATAATTTGGTTTATGCTAATCTCTTGCCATCCCTTTTTTCACCACATGTAACATTCCTTGGGATTCTCGTCCAAAATTTCATGAAGAAGATGTTTGGAAAAGTGACTCCCTCACATATCCTAAAGTCATTTTGTAACCTAGGAAGTCAAGCGATGTGGTTTCCTTAAGTTTCCTTGAATGGTGATATCATGGACCACTTTAAGCTCATGCTGTTGAAGATGTCAAGGCACACTTTGCTGTGAGTGTGGGCAACTATAAAGGTATGAGTTCCTCTAAATGCTTCCTTCACTTGCTTCTTATTTTCCACTCAGAATCTACTTTTCAGGTAAGAAGAAGAATGTTGTATATTCGATCAAGATGAACGGCAAGTCTGCCTATCATCAAGTTGATCGCTCAACTAAGATTGTTACAGAGTTCAATAATGAAACCATGGCCATAGATGATTCATACAGAAGTATCATTCATCCCCACACTGATAGGGTTGGATTGAGAAAGATGGTTTCTCTTTCAACCCCAATTTCCTTACAGAAATCAAGGAGTAACAGGCATAAGAACATCCCCATGTCAAATCCCAGCACAAGGTCTCAATTTGCATTCAAAACAGAACCAGAGCTAGAAACTACTGATATCCCTCTTAGTATTAGCTCTAATTTATCCAAGCTTCTTGTACCTTGTTACTCACTATGATTTCCTTCATGTTAGGTCTGGATCCCAATACTAAAAATAAATGAAAATCTCCAGAAAAGACCACGCCTTCCAACCTTGTTTCGATTGATAGTGATGAAGAATAGCTAGGAAATACAGTAAGCTTTCTAGATCTCTTAGAGAAAACTGCTGCTTCTAGCCTAATATCACTAGAGAAATCACCACCTCGTGATCCTGTATCTTCTCCTCCAACTAGTCAAGGCCCTGACAAGAAGAAGAGAAAAGGTGATGATGGCTCAATTAAGAACCAGAGCGCTTTTTCAGAAAAATAGCAATCGGGGTAATGTTCATCATCTGGTGGTGAACCAAAAGCTTCAAACATTGAAGGTGATGTGGGTGTGCAAACAAGTCCTAGCCAATCAAATGTTGAGGCTTCTGTTTTAAGAACAACCTCGGTTTCCTCTCTACAATCTAAAGCTTCTACTTCCATACAAACTAATCAGCCTGCTCAAACTATCGATGCTAATGTTAATGTTGATTCCCTCTAGTTTCTGACCCATTGCTTATGACTTCAGAGTCTATACCAGAGTCAAAACAACCTTTTGTTGCTGTTCATGGCAAGGGAAAAGCTGTTTAGGATGGCGCTGAATAAGGGAAAAATGACTCTATATCCACTCCAACCCCAAAATCTTTACATGAATCAATACAACCTTCTCGAAGATTCAAGATCAGGAGGTGGAAATTCATGATGAAACTGCACCAAGAATCACAGAGTCCATTCCAATAATGGTGCACAGTGACACCACAATTTTTCAGACTAGGGATGTTGAGCCTCAACTTAATACTACAAAATCAAGTCTTCGTGAAGAGGCCCTAGCAAAAAAGAGTGCATCTCTAGATTTAGGTAAATAACACATGTCCTCCTTTTATGTCTTTTTATTGGTGTCTAATATGCCCATTAATTTTAGCATTGACAACCATTGACCAAGGAAATTAGAGCAACAAGACATCAAAAATACAAACATCAGATGAAAGTAAGCATCCTAACCTTATAGAGTTATCATGCTTATTTAGTCTTTATGTATGTCTGAATGTTGAACACATGTATTCCAGCATCTACATCTCCAGAGATCAAACTTCTTGACCAAGTCCTAACTCTTTGTTAGAGAGTAGAGTTGCAAGAAACGCCAAGTACGTAGATTGAGTTATCTCTGGAACTTATGGCTAAGGTTTGCTTGTTTGGAGACAACGATCTAGTTGTATGGAAAGATTTTTCTGTCGCCTATCAAGCATGTGCGATTGAATTGGCCAACAAAAGATCATATCTTCCCCCTTCAATGATTTTTGATATATCCCAATAAGCGTCCCAAGTCTTCCAACAATGAGATCATTTAAAGAATAAAGACCTGTAGCTACATGTAGAGATAGACCACATACAAAATGAGATCGATGAAATCATGGAAAAAAAGAAGAAGCTTCAGGCCAGGAGATCTATGGTAGAATAAAAGCTTTAGGATTGTAGATGAGAGAAGAAACAATTGAAGTGCCAGATATCTAAGAGTGCTCCAATAGTTCAAGAAACTTTGTCTCAATTTGATCTCTATGGTAAACAGATGGCATTGATGAAGAAATTTAAGGTTCTTCTTTCTGAGTTAAACACAAGGCAATGGCTAAAAATTCCCTCATTTGTAAACAGTACATTTTATTTGTTAAAAGCCTCTAATGATGGATGATTTTGTTGTAAGTTTTTATACTATTTCCATATACTTGGGTAATACTGTTTTAAGAACTTTCCATTAAGCACCCTTGGAAACATTTCCCTATCTAACTCTTGCAACAAATAGGCATTTCCAGACATGACTTTGTGAACTCTAACTGGACCCTCCCACTTAGAAGACCATTTGCCAAAGATATGATCTTTATATTCATGCTTAGGAAGTTTCATCTCCACACTAAATCTCCTTCCAAAAAGATTTTATGTTTCACCTTTTTGTTGTAAGATTTTGCTAGTTTTTTCTGGCCTTCGATTTTAGCTAGCGTTTGGAGTCTTTCACCTTCAACGTCCATCAATTCAATGGACATCGATTGTTGGTAGTCTTCTTAGCTTATACCCATTTTTTAGCTACCCTGGCGGACTTAGTGCTTAGCTCTACTGGTACAACAGGTTCATGTCCATACACTAAGTGGTAAGGAGTAGTCCCTATTGCATCTCCCTTTGATGTTCAATATGCCCAAATAGCATAGTGTAAAAGAACGTGCCAATTTTTAGGATTTTCATCCACCATCTTAGCAATTCCTTTAGAGATCACTTTATTAGTGGCTTTAGCTTGTCCATTGGCCTGAACAAAGTAAGGGGTTAGTTGAATGTATCTATTGGATTCAAATTCCTTGATATAGGAATTAAACTCATGTCCTGTAAACATTGTTTCCTGGTCTAGTGTTATAGATTCTGGAATCCCATATCTTGTAAAGATTTTCTCTTCCAAGAACAAGATCACTGCCCTTGCATTTAAACTTTTGAAAGCCTGGACCTCAATCCACTTTGTGAAGTAATCTGTAGCTATCAGAATATGCTTATGGTGAGCAGATGAGGGAGGTTTAATAGGCCTAATTTCATCCATCATCGAACTTCTAAAAGGTAAGGGCTTGATAATAGGGTGCAATTCTATTGCTTGTGCCATACTTATTGGTCTAAATCTTTGAAATTGTTTACAACCTTTTGCATATTGCAAACAATCTTATCTAACTGAAGGCCAATAAAAACACACGTGATGGATTAACCACCTCATCTTAGTTCCTGCTTGGTGTGACCCACAAATTCCACGATGAACTTCTGCTAAAATGGTTAACACTTTCTTTGTGCTAACGCACCTCAGTAAAATGCCTTGAGGATCTTTTCTTTATAACTTATTTCCCATAAGAAAGTATTTAGTAGCTGCTAGCCTAACTTTTTCTGGCACTTTCCCTTTTGAAGGGTCTTTCAAGTACTCCTTAATCTCCTCTCTCCAATCTATATTATGAGAGAGGATAGTGTACTTATGTACCTCTGCCTTCACTTTTTTAGATCATCTAAAGGTTCAATTTATATGTGTTTATGTGAATCACTAATTCATCGAAACCTTCATAATCGGGTAGCGATGCTTGTTGTGCCAAAAAGTCAGCCTCTTGGTTTTCTTCTCTTGGGATATGAGATACTTGGATGAATTCAAAAGCATTAATAAGCTCTTGAACGATAGATGAATAGGTCGTCGCCAGAGGTTAGATTCCTTTGTATTCTTTGTTTACTTAGGCTATCACTGACAGGGTAAAGTCGTATCTCCTAATCAAAAGAATTACCTAAGTCCTCTAAGTAAAGCAGATAGGGAAGTAGGGTCGAATCCACAGGGAAACAATTCTTTCTATTCCTAATTAATTATCATAATCTAAATTATCAAAGAGAAAAAAGGGTTTATATGAATTAATCTAAGGGTAAAATCAATAATAAAAAACCTAGGGTCACAAGTTCACCAATAATTAATACTCCAGGATAAAACATAACAATCAACAATTAATAGTGCATATATAACATGATTAACAGGCTCTCGCAATTTATTAATCAATATAGTTCTAATAGGCTCTCGCAATTTACTAGATCTAAGTTCCTATTGAAAATAGCCTTTAATATCAAATTAACATATGCTCGATTCATCAATTCATTGTTGCTATACTTTTACAATCAAATCACATCTGCTCGATTCATAATCCAATTGTAAAGAACTAAAACAATTCAATAAGAAATTATCATGCAATATCAAAAATCAACCAAAACAATTCATCCCTTCATATTAATTATGGATCCCCCAAGAACCCTACAATTAAACTACTCGCACATATTTAAATCTAATAATCAAAGCATATATGGAAGACATGATTACAATCAAAACCCAAATTAAAAAGAAATTAAAATCAAAGCAATATATAAAGTAATAAAAGACATGAGAAATAATACCGAATGAAGGAAATATGAAATTGCACTAAAAGGGGAAAATTTGAGTTCAACAATAATCTCCAACTAAAATCTCTCTAGAAGTTTTAAGCATGAAAGAAATAATAATGAAAACGTAGCTAATAAAGCTTACAAAAAGAACTTAAATACTAAGCCTAAAATTAGCCAAAATGACGAATCCTAAGACTACAAGGATAAACACGCGCCCGATCGGGCCCGCCTTTTTTTCTTTTCTCCGCATTCTGGGTATCGCCTGATTAGGCCATAGGCCGCCCGATTGGGCCCGGTCTTTTCTTGGCCGAGACTTTTTTCTTCTTTTCCTTTGGGCTCTAATTGCTTATATGGACCAAATCTTCTTCTTCCTTGGTTCATTGCTCGGACCAATTCCGCGAACCAAGCCCTTAATCACCGATATGATCGGTCTTGGGCTACGATCAACGATCATGAATGTGACAAAAGCTTCGATATCTCGTAGTGGTCGGAAAACCATAGAAATTATCGAAAAATCTGGGAAATTCTACAAAACAAATGCCAACTCTACAAAACACTCGAAACCACACATTAGTACTAAACGTAGCCCCGAAGAGCTCAAATATGCATAAAATGACCGTGGAACGGGGGATAAAATAGCATATAAAATACATATATCAAACTCCCCCAAACCAAACCCTTGCTTGTCCCTAAGCAAGACGATGAATAAAACAAATCATAACTTTACCCCAAATCAAATTCAAAATCCATAATACAACTCAAAGCCAATCCAACAAACATGCATCATAATCAATCACTTAAATCCATCCGATTACCAATCTTCCCTAACAATTGTCAACTAGAGCAAACCACCAGAGCATATAGAATTCAAGACTAGTGCTCACACACTCAACTCTCATTTATGTGGCGAGTAAAAGATGAACTCGTTCACTCTCCATCCCAAACCCTTTGTATGTGAACAATGCCCTCCCAACTCACGCACTCGTGTGTTTAAAAGACATTCACTCAACCTAGTAGTCGACTCGGAATATATCAAATCATTCTTCGCATTGATAAACAACTACTTTCACATTCACACAACTCTATGCACAAAGGTCGGAAGGTCTTCAAACTTGTAATGTAAGGCTTAGGTAAAGGGTAAGATAATATTTGGGAAAATGTGAGAGCTAAGCCATTGCTTTAGGGAGCCAAATCCTAATAAAAAACAAGGCCAAACATAAGTAATGGAGAATCTTCTCGAGCACAACTCATCTCCACCAAAAATTCACCAAACAACTATCCAATATTTCACAAATTTTTCAACACTTACAATTTCACTCATAAAAATATGATATTATAGAACTTGAGTGAATAAACAAACTTTGAATTCTTTTATTTTAACTTTCTTTTGAACTTGATTTTTTTTTCTTTGAAACTTATCTCTTTTTTTCTTTCTTGAAACTCTTTTTTTTTTCTTTCTTTTCTTTTGAGCAACCCTCATTAGAACACTTAAACATTGAAACAATTTTTTCCTTTTGCTCTTTTTTTTTTCTTCTTTTTATCTCACATTGAAATTTTTCTACTTTGAACAACAAATTTCTCATCTTTTCCGATCACAATATCAAAAGAACAAATTACTCCTCTTATTCACCCACATTGTGCAAATTATGTGCACACTACAATTCCCTCACCTCACTCACTATTAGCTCCCCCAAGCCAAGCTCGGGACAAGTAATAACCAATGGGGCTTAAATCGGCTTGTAATGTGGCTAAATAAACAATAAAGGGGCACAAACAACAACATGGGTAGCAATAAGGGAACAAATGAATCTATTATCGTCTGAAGGCCACCTAAAAGAACGAACACCTTCGTCATCCTCATTGTGCATAATAGTGAACCATATAAACATTACTCATAGTTGCAAACCAATCCTCAAATTCATTGATATACTAGGAACTAACACATATTCCTCACCAAATCAACTAGTCAAGCACTATATTCACAAATAGTTGGGCAAAATTGACGCATGTTAAAGTTTCAAGGCAATCAAACATCAAATCATGACCAACTAATCTACAATTTTCATCATCAATAACCAAGAGTCAAAATAATTTTCATCAAGGGGCACAGGGGAAGCATGATTCATCTTTTCATAGGAACGTATTTTTGCATTTTTTATTTTGAAAGCATTAAATCTAACCTAAGAAAACAATAAAATAGAGAAGAGAGAAAGAATACCATATATACAAAATCATCTCCCCCTAAGCCAAATCAAGAAATTCCCTCATTGACTTGGGAGTGTAGCTAAAAAAAGCTACTTCTCATCATCATCCTCATCCATCCTAGCATAGCCACTACCTCCTCCATGGCTAGAACCAACACCTCCTTGACCAGAACTACCTGCAAAATAGTTAGGATCCACTTTCCCACCTATCACACCAAAAGGAACATCGGCCCCATAACCATGGACGGAATAATAGTCCACATAAGTACCATAAGCACCAAGGGTAGTGTATCTTCCTTGGATATTGGAACCAATCGGGGACCATAGCTTCGGGGGGAATAGCCCCTCGGCGTGCATAATCATCATCATACATAGGGTGTAAACCCCTCCCTAGGTTCCGTTCCACATAGACAACCCTCCTATCTAGAGACCCCACCCTAGTGTTAAGGGAATGGACCATCCCCTCTACCCTTCCTTGACCCATCTCGATCCTATCAAGTTGGCTCCTAAAATTCGAGAAGTCATAAGGTGCACTAGGATCTATGTTATAGTCATGAGAAAAGGTGGGGATTTCGTGCATGTAAGGTTGGGGTGGTAGTTGACATTGAGGTTGTGGTTGAGATTGAGATTGAGGTGGAGGTTGAGGAGTCTCTTAAGATTCTCCATCATTGCCTAACACAAAAGTGTAGGTGGTCTTACCCCTATCAAACTTAGTCAAAGTGGGGTTAGGCAATTTGAAGGCTTGTTCTTTTTAACCCGACTGTCTATGAATAGTCCAACACATCTCATTCGGCCGACTCACACTATTAGTAGGTTGGATCCAATTAAGCCCTCCTAAATAGCTAAGGTCCATCAATGTAGGGTTGTTCATCCTCCTATGGTCAATAGGCTCAAAACCCATCAATTTAACCGCAATGTGGGTTACTAACCCACCAAAATAGATAGGGGTTCTAGCTCTCGAGGTCTCGGATGCCCTAGCACTACATTGGAAGTGTTGGGCCATCTTAAGTGGGATGTTTAGCTTCCCACACTCGGAATGCAAATAGGAGGCTAAAAGTTCTAGTTCGTCCCTCCTAACATTAACCGCTTCATGCCTCCTAAAGATGGTGAGGCCTACAAATTTTCCAAAACTTTGGCATGGGATGGTGAATGATGGTGCCATTGGCATGTTGGAGGTTTTTCAAAACCTCCCCCGTGAGGGCCAAATAAACCTCGGCACAAAAATCCTTAGGTAGACCGAATGGTCTATCGGATTTCAAATAAAAATTTTACCAAAATCTTTCAAAGATAATTTCACATCATTATTAAGCAAGCGAAATTGAACATGATACACATTTGAGTTTGATTTTATTAAACTAAAAGTAGAGATAAATTCTACCGTTAGATAATCATAAGTTTCTCTATGCATATTAAAAAAGCTAGACATGCCAATTCCTTTGAATAATTTTTCCACTTGTTTATCAATACCCAAACGAATTAAAGTAGGATGATGAACAAAGCG